CGAGAATCGTATTAATGTTTCCTACATGATTATGTTGATTAATTTGGCTAAAAGCTAATATATCTCCACTTCGAATTTTATAAACTAGGATGTATATTGAGTTCTATTGGAATATGAAAATGGGGTGTTAAAAAGAGGCACTATGGTCTGAACTTACAACCATAAAAAATTACAATGTAGGCACTTGGATCTTCCTTGGTGATTTTAATGCAATAAGATTTGTGCATGAGATGTTCAACTCCATCCTCTACAGATTAACCACTGCAGACTTCAACCGCTTCATTGTCAATGCATGTCTTCATGAATTCAATATGGGAGGCTTGGAATTCACATGTCTGCGTGATGACGAACATAAATTGAGCAAAATTGATTGTTTTATCGCCCGCAAACTTAATTAATTACAACCACTCACGTACGACACTGTACTTGCCTGGGAATATTCGTATCATTCTCGTCTTATTCTAAAACTTCCGTTAACTATTTTGGGCCTCCTACTTTTTGGTTAGTCAAATCTTGGCTAAATGAAGACTTCAATGTGTTGTTCAAAAGCTCATAGGATTCCTTTCAAGGATTTGGCACTTCGAATAGGTTTCTTGCTGCTAAACTCAAATTCGTCTAAAATGTCATTTGTGATTGGAGCAAGCTGAAATCAAACAATGAGAAATCAACATTAGCTCAACTCAAAAAGGTGGAAATTTTGGATATGATTGCTGAATCTCGAGTACTCACTAAAGCAGGCAGATATGCAAAAAAATCTTGGAACTTGAGCAGTTTGTGAAGCTTGATCTTTAACAGAAAGCCGAAATCAAATAGGTCACAGAAGATGATGAAAATTTCTATTTCTTTCATGGCACTTTCAAACATAAGAAATGAAAAACAAAATTCATGGACTTAACATCAATAATAAATGGAAAACGGATCCCGTGGCATTAAAATCTAATATTTTCAACTTCTTTGCTGATAAATTTCATGAGTGTTGGACTCATAGACCCAAATTCATAAACCACAACTTCAACCAACTTTACTTAGCCCAATCTTCCTTTCTTGAATCATAGTTTTCTATTTAGAATATAAAATCCGTCGTCTAGCATTGCGGTATGCAAAAGGCACCCAGTCTGATGGGTACACCTTTAAAATCTTAAAAGCAAATTGGGATATGATTGGTGGTGATATAATTTGTTTTGTCGAATATTTTGAATCTATAGGATCTCTTGCACAAGCATGTAATTCTTCAAACATCACTCTCATCCCAAAGGTGTGAAATCTATTAACCCTCAACGATTATTCTCCCATCAGTCTAGTTAGTTGCATGTATAAAAGTGGTGGCTAAGTTACTTGTAATCAAACTGAAACAGGTAATTGGGTCGGTGGTGGATGATGTCCAGTCGACTTACATTTAAGGCAAATACATACTTGACAAGCCTCTGGTAATGAATGGACTTATATCATAGGTAAAGCAACAAAAGAAAAAAAATGTTTCTCTCAAGGTCGAATTTGAAAAAGCTTTCGATTTAATTGACTTGGGATATTTGGACTATGTCACGGATCAAATGAAATTTGGTCGCAAAGGGAGGAAATGGATATCTTGTTGCCTATGCTCAGCAAAAGCATCAATTTTAGTAAATGGTGCACCAACTGAAGAATTTCCAATATCCAGAGGGGTTTGACAAGGCAATCCACTATCACCGATCCTCTTTATCTTGGCCATGGAGGACTAAATATCGCTGTTAAGAGTGCTATGAAAAATCCTTATTTCATGGGGTTAAATTACCTAAAATGGGCCTTTAGTTTTACATCTTTTCTACATTGACGATGTGATATTTGTTGGGGATAGGATTGCGAAAACATAAAAAACTTGTCCCGTATCCTGAAATGTTTCCATATATCCTCACGGCTAAAATCGTACATTGTGAGGAAATCATTAAATGAAGTGTGGTGCAACATTTCTAAGGAAATTAGATCTATTGAAAGGCTTCACACTGATTGTAAGGACAACTTTTCCCTCACCCATGATCGGATGTTAAAATTCTATTCTGGAAAAATTCCTAGTTTTGTAACACTCTTTTCCATCTCAAATTCCCCTACTTATATTCAATTGAAACAGTTAAAAATTGTTTACTGGATGGTAGACTTTGTAGGGATAGTTTCTCATGGATGTGGGGATTTGAACCAATAGGTCCTAAAGAATTAAATGAACTATTGCATCTATACATGGATATTGGTAATATGAATACTGACCAAAAATCTAAATATGGGTTGAGATTCACTCTCAATCAAGTGGTGAATATACAATGAACTTAATGAGGAAACTATTTAAGTCTAAACAGATTCCATACAAAGGGACGCCAATCTGGAGGTCAAAGATAATCCCTCTGAAGGTGCGTTGCTTCATATGGAGAGTTGCGTTTTGTAGAATCCTGATGGCTGAAACCTTGACAATAATTGGAATCAATACATCTAGTTCTTTATGTCCTTTGTGTAATAAAGAAACATAAACCATCGATCATCTATTCATTACTTGTGATTATTCTAAAGTGGTGCAACACTGGATATTTAAATGGTGTGATATTGTAGACAAAATATTCTCAAATGTTAGATAATTCATAGACTTTATAGTTGCTTGGGGGAATTGTCCTAAGAAAAAGGAGATCTTAATCATGGTGTTTTATTGTCTTATTTGAAACATGTGGCTATCCAGAAACGACAAGATCTTCAAACAAATTGGTGTAAATGCTACAAAAATTGTTGACAACATAATTTCGCTCTCATACGTATGGTACAAGCATCGATGTGGTGTAGGTTGTGATAACTGGGTTGAGTGAAAATTGCTGACAACATAATTCCACTCTCATACATATGGTGCAAGCAACGACTAACTGGGTTGACTGAAATTGCTGACAACATAATTTCGCTCTCATACATATGGTGCAAGTATCGACGTGGTGTAGGTTATGATAACTGGGTTGAGTGAAAAATTACGACAAAATAATTCCTCTTCTCACACATATGTTGCAAGCATCGACGTGGTGTAGGTTGTGATAACTAGGTTGAGTGGATTGTATGGCCTTTCACTCATTTTTTACTTAGATTCTCATTTTATATTTGTCTTAATCTCTTCTCATATTTACTGTACGCTTCTTCCTATGAGAGTGCCCAAATTTTAACGATATTTGTGTATCTAAAAAAGCATAAGGATAGATTTACAAATCTTAATTATAAAAAATGATCGGTCTTCTCCTTTCAAAGCTTCTAATTTGTAATGTATTTTGCCTAACGGCTTGATTGCTCTTTTTATTGAAAATTTTCCAATGATAAAAAATATTTAAAGAATTATTCGAAAATAAAATATTAATTTTTAATTGAGGGTAAAATGGGTGGCTCAAGGTGAAATTGGTGGGAATACAGGCTGGATTCAGAAACAGTGTATAGTTTTAGGCACACCAATCGCCAGTTCATCACCTATACACCCCCCTTTCCTGCATGCTTCCCATTCCTAACTTTTTTTTTTTTTTTATTTTTTATTTTTTATTTTTTTATTTTACCTAATCTACCTTTATTTTTTTTTTTAATGCTTTTCACTCTTCAAAATTAATTTAAAATTTTAATTAATAAGAATTAGTTGAACAGTAACTTTAATTTTGGAAAAATTAATTCCATATGAGCGGGCACAATCTTTTTATTTTCAAAATTAGGCAAAATAGTATCTCGATAAAAAAAGATTCTATGGTATTTCTAGAATAGATTTATAATAATTAATTCATATTTAAATAAATTATGTCAGATAAATTATCCCTCCAGTTGAAATACTTGAAGTTCTCACGTCATTTTTAATTGACAGCTTGTTTTCCTTCATTAATTACAATTAATTAGAATGTAATAATCTTATTATAGAATATAATCCAGAAATATAAGTAACATATAATCAATGAATCTGTTTGACAATATTACTTTAAATAATAAGTGACAAAAAAAAAAGGTAGCAATCCAATAGCCCTGAAATAAAACATAAATTATTGAGATATTCTAGTCAAAGCTTATGGGCTCTATGTATTTAAATCCTCTTTTTACCCTTCAAAGTTGAAATAGTACATGATCTAAATTAATATTATCACATTCATCACTTTGTTATATAATCACTACATTATTAAATCTCATTAATGAAAACTTAGTTTGTTTGATATGTCTCTTATCTAGTCTCATACGAAATCAGTATTATCTTAATCAGATCTAAATTAATTGATTAAGATCAAACAAAATATATTTCAAATAACATTTTTTTTGGAAAATCAATGGTGTTATCTGTTATGAAATCGTAACTATAATAAGTTATAAAAAAATGTTTTTTATTTAAAATTTCACTAGTTTATTTATTCACTTTGATAATGACTACGTATGATCCAACGACTACCGGACATTAATAAAAGGCATTAATCCACCGCCACAGTTTAAATTTATATTTCTAAAATAAAATCATAAAATGGTACGTTACATATTATAGAATAAATATATATTTATATTCATCATTTTATTCCTAAAATAATGATTTTATGTACAATGCAGGAGATATTTTGATATTTTCATATTAACCTGTTGAAAGACGACAAAATCGTGTTAGTCACGCGCGTTAAAGGAGAGTGGAATGAAAGACAGGTAGAAGTAGAGCTTACGAAGACTAGTATGTGTAAATCAGTGCTGGGCTGTGATGTGACGCGTGTCCGTTAGCCAGCTGTATCCCAAATTCTACCAAATACAACCGCTTGCTCCAGTCACAGCCGGTGTCCCACCATTTTTACCGGCTTAACCGGTCATCCCTATCCTCTCTCTCATATAAAAACCTTCATTCATCCTTCGAAACCTTCCATCTTTCTTTCGTTCTATATTCAAAAATTTCATCTCATAACTCATAAGTTCCTGAAAGCAGTAGGTTTTGATTTAGGTTTTGGTTTTGATTTTGATTTTGATTTAAAATGTTTATGGGTTGTAATACTCCGAAGAAGGATATGGATCGGATCAAAGGACCATGGAGTCCTGAAGAGGACGAGTTGCTTCAACAGCTTGTTGAGAAACATGGAGCGAGAAATTGGTCGTTAATTGGTAAATCTATACCGGGTAGATCTGGGAAATCGTGTAGGTTAAGGTGGTGTAACCAGCTGTCGCCGCAGGTGGAACACCGTGCGTTTACGCCGGAGGAAGACGAGACGATTCTTCGTGCTCATGCTCGGTTTGGGAACAAGTGGGCGACGATTGCTCGGTTGTTGTCAGGTCGGACTGATAACGCCATTAAAAACCATTGGAACTCGACGTTGAAGAGGAAGTGTTCTTCGATGACGAATGAAGAGTTTAGTGAGTTTGCTATTCAACAGCCTTCGTTAAAAAGATCGGTTAGTGCTGGTTCGGCGGTGGCTGTTTCCGGTCGTTATTTGAATCCCGGTAGTCCGTCTGGATCTGACGTCAGTGATTCCAGCGTTCCGGCGATTTCGTCGTCGCACGTCTACCGACCAGTCGCTCGAACAGGGGCGGTTGTTGCTCCGCAAATCGAAGTAGCAACGTCGTCTCCTCCGCCTCAAACGAAAGATCCTCCGACTTTATTAAGTCTCTCGCTTCCTGGAGTCGAAAATGAAGAGTGTACAGCTGCTCCGACGCCGATGCAGTTAATGCCGCCATCGCCGGTAGCAAGTCCTTTACCACCTCCGCCTCCGCCTCCGCCGGTTCCTATCCATGCTATGCCGTTGCGGCAGGTCCCAGTCGATCGTTACAAGAACATAAACCTAAACAACGCCGACCTCATGTCATCGATTCCGATGGCGATTTCCTCCGCGATGCATCAGCTTAAGGTATCTCAAAATCCAGTAATGGAAGTAGATCAACAGGATAAGTCTTTCACGCCGTTCAATGCAGAGTTTTTGTCTGTAATGCAAGAGATGATAAGAACAGAGGTCAGGAATTACATGACAGGAGTCGAACAACATAATCACCAACAACGATCCGGAGAGGGTGGCGGAATGTGCATGAAACAGGCGGCGAATGGCGGTGGCGATGGGTTTAGGAACGCTGCGGTGGTGAAGAGAATCGGCATTAGCAAGATCGATTAGAAGTAGATTTGTTGATAGGTGATGATCGGAGAAGGCGCCCTGAAATCTTGAAAAATTGAGACGATGATCGGAGAAAAAGGGCAAAACAAAAACAATCTTTGTTATATTTCTCTATTTGTTAATTATATAAAATATGCCCAAAAAAAGAAAAAAAAAAAAGGAAAATAATCATGTACAGGGGTAATCTTGAAAATGTAAGAGCAACAGAGGGTAAAATGGAGATTATAAAAACCTTCTTTTTAGATCCAATTTCGTTGGTGTTTTTTTATTTTTAATTTTAAAATTAAATCAGGAAGTTCTTGAAATTTAGAAGTATAATAAATTTCGGAAATATTTAATAAGGTTCAGTTAATTTATTTTCCACATGAAGATAATATCAAAGAAACGGGTATTGGGCCAGAAACGGGTATTGGGTCGGATGAGGGTTAATTGTTTCGTTTTTTAGCTTGCAACAATTTTGTGGAGCTTTGGGCTTCTACGTTAGTTGTTGGATTACAAAGGCTTAATTCGGATCTCAAAACCCTATAATTCTTGTTAGTTCTAGGGTAGATTTTGGTCCAATTTGGTTCAAAATTTTGAAGTTTGGTTATGTTATTAGTTGAAATTTTCCAGATTGTTTTTAATGCATGGAAAGTTTTCAATCGTGATAGCAAGTTTGATCAAAATCTGTTACACAAACTAAAAGTTGTAAGCATCACTTTGAGTGTGGAGAAATAACTCTAGATATATAGTGTTATGACAAAAATAATCAAAAAACACGAAATATAACAAACATAAACTCAAATAAATCAAATTTATATACAAGATTCACAATCAGAAAAAATGCTTGAACAACAGCATTCAAAAACACGAAAATATGTAGATTGTCAGGACAGAAATTGCTCTTGTCTAGTTTGAAGATACAACAATCAATCAAGAGCAAATATTGATTATGGCAAAATTCTTTATGTTTCACTCTTCATCTTTGAATTTCGAAAAAATATAAAACGAGTGTTTTTTCTGTATCCCCCAAAATATGACTTTTGCTGATGTATTTATAGGCTTGATATTGGCAGTTAATCATTCCCACCAGACACAAATTTTCAAATCGAAATTAACTACTAATTTAGTGTCTAACAACTAATTAACAATTAACATATTTAATAATTTAATACATGTCAAAATTAGCTGAATCGACATATCCAACCCAATCTCTTTATCCCGAGTATTTAGTGATATTAAGAAAATACTCATGGAAGGCTTTATAAATGAGTAAAAGTTTCTTCTTACTTTTAATGTGGGACAAGTGTCGTAAATGTTATTTTCATTAAACAATTTTCCAACATAAAGAGATGGAGATTTAAAAAAAACCCTAAAAAAATAACGAATTAGAAGAAATTGCAGAATCCAGGAAGTTGTCATCTCGTAAAAGGCTTTCAAAAAGGAATTTGATGAATCGAATCATGGAATGTGACACGATAAAGAGGTTGGGTATTAGATGAAAGTGGCGAGTAAGATGGGACGTGGAGGGAGATGAAAACACAAAGTTATTCCATAGCATTATAAATAACAACAAAAGAAAGAACATGATTAATGGGTTAATCATTGGAAGGGATTAGGTAACAAATCAAAATCTTGTGAAAGAAGAAGTATGGCATTTTTTTCTAAAGTAAATCTGATGAGGGTACTTTTCAAAGACCTAAGTTGATTGGTGGTCATTTCAAGAAAATCTCCAATAATGTTTGTACTTAATTGGAGAATCTGCTTACACTTGAGGAAACCAAATTTTCGGTTTGGAGTTGTTGTAATAAGAAGCCACCGGGGACCGACGGGTTCACCTTTAATTTTCTAAAAGAATTTTAGGAAGTTATGAAATGGGATTGTTTGCAATATTTTATAGGATTTTGTAAACATGGGAACATTTTAATAGGATGTAATTCATATTTTATCTCGTTGATTCCAAAAGTGTATGATCTGTTTTTATTGAGAGATTTTAGATGTTTTATGCATAAGGTGTTTGCAAAAGTGTTGGAAGTTCGTCTCAAGAAGGTCGACAGGAAAGGTAATAATTGTGTACAATCAACATATGTGGAAAGAGGAAGTATACTTGATGGCTTACTAATCGTATATGAACTTCATGCTTGGGGCAAGAAAGTTAAGAAGAAAGTGATAATATTCAAATTCGATTTCAAAAAAGCTTTCAACTCATTGAATTAGGGCTTTTCTGGACTCTGTTATGGTACAAATGAACTTTGATGTCAAATGGAGAAAGTTAATAAATGGGTGTTTAAAGTTAGGACGTGCTTCTATCTTTGTGAATGGATCTGAAACCAATAAATTTAGCATTAAAGAGGTCTGTGATAAGGAGATCCTTTATATCCATTTATATTTATACTTGCAATGGAGGGATTTCATGTTTTAATGGAGACAGTATCTGATAATCAAATGTTTACAAGGACCTATTTACCAAATATTTGTCCTTGTTGGTCACATTTAATGTTTGGGGATGATGTGATGTTTATTGGAGAATGGTCCTAAATGAGCATTATTAATCTTAATTGATCGGTTGCTTAGATGTTTTTACCTTGCATCAGTATTAAAATTCAATCTTCATAAAAGTAAGATTCATAGTGTGGGGGTCGACCACTTGAAGATTGCTACACTTGATAGCATTATGAAGTGTGAGCCAACCTATTTAGCTTACCCATTAGTGATAATATGCAGTTAAGAAAGAATTGGGACCTAGCCTTCTAAAATTTTCATTTGAAGTTGGGTTTGTGGAAAGCTAAAAATCTTTCATTTAGGATCACTTAACTATTGTTGAATCCATTCTAGGGAGTCTCTCTTTATATTATTTTTCTATATTTGAAGCTTCAAAAAAAAAACTATCGACTTTCTTGAGGACATTAGAAGGAAGTTTCTTTAGGGGTGGAAGTGAAAAAAAGAAAACAAATGTTGTGTGACTTGGCAATCCGTACTTAGACTACAAGATTATGTTGGCTTAGGGTAGGTTGTTCAAGAACCTTGAATTTAGCGCTTTTGAAAAAAATGATGGTGGAGATTGAAGGTGGAAGGGAATTATCTTTAGGAAAATTCTATAAAAGTTATGCATAATATATCACTCATTAGTGATGGGCGGATTCCAAAGCAATAAGTTATGAGGACATGGTTCAATATTAATCTTGTTAATGTTAGGATGAAAGAAATATAGGTTTCCATGAAGAGTCTATTTAAAGGAAAATTTTGTAATAGGGTTAGCATGAATTTTGAAGAAACAAAAGGATTAAAAATATTGATTCAAAGGACATGTATTTATCCTTATATTCTACCAAATCACTAAAAATTGTGTGATTTTTGAAAGGTTAAGTGTGGACATTAAATAGGCTACACGAATGAAATGGACCTGGACGAGGCAACCTACAAGATGGAGAGAATCAAGAGAATTAGCATATATTATACAACTCATGAATGAAGTGGAGTTGAGTACTGATTGAGATGGGTGGAAGTGGTTAAGAGACTCAAGATGAGAGTTGTCTATTAAATCTTTATGAGTTATGATGTCAAGTTTACAAGGGGTAGAAAATTTGTATGAGTTCATATGGGTAAAATGGATTCCACTAAAGGTAGATGGATTTGTGTGGAGGTATTCTAAAAATAGAATTTATATGTCTCTAAATCTAGCTATCAAAGGTATTAACATGAATTCCTTGTTGTGATGTGACATTAATCGATGTTGTTGATATGGCTTGAGGAGTTTGGTTATAAACAATTTGGCACCTATACGATCTATTTGTTTGTTGTTGTTAATGTTAAAAAGTGTTGTGGAGTAATGACCATTTTGTCCTTTGATTCCGTTTACAAACTATAAGGGCTATATGTGGTATTTTTGTGGAGTAATGAAAAATTTACCCCTAGATGCTATGTGTGTTTGTTGCTGTTGATGTTAAAAGTTTTGTGGTCTAATGAACATTTTGCCATTAGATGACATGTACAACTATAAGGGGTATTCTTGGTATAAGTTTTACATTGGAGTTGTGTAATGGGTCATTTTATAGTTGCTAACTGTGTTAGAAACTGACTGGGTTAGAAGTTCTGATTGTGTTAACTTCTGACTGAAACATGTTTGAGATTGCATATGTATGACTGTGCAAAATGACTATATTACCATCAAACAACATTTTTATAATAATTTCTTTATGATTTACTGTTTAGTTTATAACCTTACATTCTTTATAAATGCACAATACGCACCTACCCCTACATTTTATCAACTAATTTTCTGATTAGTGGTTCATACATATTCACTAAATTTGATTTTATCATGCCAAACAACCTAGATATGTTTAAAATTTGATGTATGTATAACCATCTATATATGCTTTTAAGATAGGATTTTCAAGATACTTGATCTTCTTGTTCTTCAATGATTGTTTTTAATGTTATGTTTTAGTAATACATATGTGAGATACGAGTAATGAAAATACTTCCTCTGTTTTTCATAGAAATGCTCATGGTGCAGGCTTATAAAATAAATGTATCCCCTCCCCCATTTTATGTTCTTACAATATTGTAATATGAGGATTATAAAATTAATGATTTTTGAGCATTTGACTTTTTTCTAGTGCTAAAAAAAGAGGATTATTCATCATGTTTCATTTCGACCGTTTTACCTTTTCTAGTAATGTCACATTTTGTTTCACATATGGTTGATTTTCATCAAGTTCTTTCATTCCAAGTTTATCAAATTTCATATTTAAAACTAAAGCTCGCAAGTGGGGGTTAGAAAGTTCAAAACATTCCTCGATTGTAGGTTCCATGACATCAAGGAAATTTAAAGATGAGAAGTCAGTTGGGTAATGCAAGACAACAAATTTATTAAATTAATGATTTCTCCGTCAAACTCCATAAAAAGTGCACCATTATAATTTTCAAATTTAGTTTTATCAGTTTTTTAAAATAGTCTTCCTAAAAGAATAACATTAGAGTTTGGGGCATCATCACTCCAATATCAAAGACCTAAT